AGCGAGCATAAATTCCTGGGAACCACTTTAGATTCAAAACTTACGTTTATTCCCCATATTAAATATGTCAAAATGAAATGTTTGAAAGCGATGAACGTCCTAAAACTCTTGTCACGTACAACATGGGGTAGTGATCGAAAGTGCCTCTTGAAGTTATACAAAAGCCTTGTCGGGTCGCGCCTTGATTATGCCTCTATAATTTATCATTCCGCAACGCCAAGTGCATTAAAAATCCTAGACCCCGTTCACCATCTGGGTATCCGACTTGCAACCGGTGCTTTCAGGACAAGCCCGATCCAGAGCCTCTATGTAGAGTCGAATCAGTGGTCACTTCACCTGCAGCGATCCTATAGCAGTTTCACATATTTTATAAAGGTACGTGCAAACATCAAGCATCCATCTTATTCAACTATAAACGATATGACCGCTGCCACCCTCTTCCATAATCGACCCACAGTGAGAAAGCCGTTCTCCTTGCGTGTGAGAAACTTATGTGAGGAAATGGGTGTTCCGCTGCTGGAACTCTGTCCTACGCCCACAGGGATACTTTTACCGCCGTGGCAGTGGCAGCTTATACACTGTGACACCTCATTTGTTGAGATCACTAAACACGCACCAGAAGCACATATTAAAATGCATTTCCGAGAACTCCAGTCCAACTACTCATGCGTAGAGTTTTATACTGACGCTTCTAAGTCGCATGCAGGGGTGGCTTATGCAGCCGTCGGACCATCCTTTTCGGAATCCGGCGTGCTGCACCCAGAAACAAGTATATTTACGGCTGAGGGTTATGCACTATTGTCCGCTGTGAAGCATTTACGGAAATCAAACATACAAAAATCAATTATATTCACAGACTCGTTAAGCGTCGTAAATGCATTAAGATCCCTTTTCTGATTCAGAAATCCGATAATAATTGAGCTATATTCCGTTCTGTGTACAGCGTATATGTCCAACCAGCATATTACTATTTGCTGGGTACCTGGCCATAGAAGTATCGAGGGAAATGTGTTAGCTGACCAAATGGCCACGTCAATTATGATGCGCGCTATTAACCCCACCGCTACTGTCCCTGCAACAGATCTAAAACCCTTTCTACGAAAGAAACTGCGAAACCACTGGCAACGCTTGTGGGACACAGAAATAAATAATAAGCTTCATTTGATTAAGCCCCGGTTGGGTTACTGGCCCTCCGCTACAAGAACACGGCGAACTGATGTCCTATTCTGTTGCCTCAGAATAGGACACACTTATGGTACTCATAGCTTTCTTCTGACTGGCGATGAACCTCCTACTTGTGGTAGATGTGGTGACAGGCTAACCGTCCTCCTGGAGTGTGCGGAAGCTGAAAGGGAGAGAAAGAAATATTTTGCTTTAGCATACCGCTATAATCTTCCTTTACATCCGATTATGTTTCTCGGTGAAGAGCCGCTTTTTAATACAAAATCAGTTTTAAGCTTTTTAAAGGATGTAGTACTGAATGTGTTTAGTCCAACATTGAATGTTTTTAGCCCAACAAGTTCATAGCGCATCCTCTGTTCAGAGGATGCCGCTGTGATAGCAGATTTCAATGAGCCCAGGCCTCCATGTTCTTGTTTTAAGGGCTCTGTCGAGGCACTGGTGCTCCATGCCAAGTTTTTATTTCACATACTTATCACTATTAAATCATTTTATGTCTCCATAGCTCACATCATTTGTCATTGCCATAATTTTACAATATGTATATTTTTACACACCTACAGCGACTGTTTTTTAGGCCCATTTACAGCCACGTCACATTTGTTTTATCTACGCTGCACATCCCACAATTCATTATCATCGCTCTGGCGCTCTTTGGCCATATCTGGCCCTTGCGCCAATAAACACCACTAATCATCATCATCAATCATTCTCTGTTACATTTTTTGTTACAGATCTAACGCATCAATCTTAGTAAAATATTTCAGGACAAGCATGCATAATTCAGTTCATAACAGTTGCACTGCAACATTTTTCTGTAACATATGGGGTATGGATTGCCTATTAGGGCCAATATGTATTATAAAATATCGTGTTGAAAGTAGTTTTCTATGCTAATTGATGTTTATTCTTAGAGAAGCTACTGTATCTTTTAGGGGACGCTGCAGTAAAATTTCACTCTAGTTGGAGATGAATTGTTGTCTAAAAGCCTCTTTTTTTATTGCAATACTGTACAGCTTTCTGTGAAATCACCACAGTTCTCACTCCTGCTCCTCAACTCAAACTACCTGCACCAAAATGGATGTGTTGACAATATCTCTCCCATACTTTCCCCACTGCTCCGAATGTGAACTGCATTCGTATATCCATTTTCAAAGCTGGTGTTTTAGCCTCACATGGTGGAGCTTTCTTTTGCATCAGTTCCTCGAGCCCCGTCCAAGTGCATGTGTCCAAAACATTTGTTCATTTTCAAAATGGCAAAAGATAATGCCACCCCCCTAATATCACATGAGAGGTACTGTAGTAAAAAAAAACAGGTAGCCTTTTTGATTTTTCTAGATTTTACCCCTTAAGTGCTGTTGTTGCTATAAATGATGCATTTCTTGTTAAATGAAAAAAATTCGTAAACAGAGGCTCTGTGCTCGAGCAGACATTTCAACAAGTGGACTTGCTCCTTACACGGTTAGGAGACGAGTCCACTTGTCAAAATGTTGGCTTGAGCACATAATCCCTTTTTACTAATTTTTCTATCGTAAGCTTCCATCTTTTCTTTCCTGCCATGCATTATTAAAGAAGCTTAATCGTTTGTTCTGACTTCACTCCATTTTTATCTTGTGCCAGTTTAACAAAATTTAAGCTGCTGTATCTCCTTGTTTATTGAGGGCAAAGCATGACTAATACCCCTATGATGGCAAAAAGAGGCAGGTTTACACGACACGCTTAGCTTCTCTAACATTTATTTTTCGGCAGTGTCACGACAGTATTCAAAGTTGTGCAAGTGCAGTAAAACCTCGTTACTATGAAGTCACTGGGGCCACGAGAAATCTTCGAATTAAGTGCGTTTTCGAATGAACAGAACATACAAAAAGGAAGGTGCAAGGACAAGTGGGATACAAGGATGCTAGTGGGATGCAGGGAAAATATTCTGGGCTTGTGGTTTGCTGTGCCGGCTAGCTTGAGGCTCTAAAGGTTGTTTTCCAGTAATACCTGACCTTAATTTTGCCGCAAACACGGGAATGGTGGGCCTCACTGCTGCCACCGAAAAAAAAAAAAAAAGGAAAGCTGCTGTGATGATCTGAAATGTGTGTTTGCAAAAAAAAGACATCTTCACTGCAACACAGAAGTGATACGCGGGCAGCATGTCACCTGTTTCTCGCTTTGTCAGCACGTCATGATGCAACCATTCGCACATTCTTTATGGCATAATTAGAAATTTAATAATGTCCAGTATGACAAAACTCGCAATGTTTTCGGCTGGAAAAAAGCATCTTTGGATTTTTCGAAGTTAGTTTTTGAAGGGGGTGTTGCTGGCAAGAACTTGGCCTACAGTGCAAAGGCGCGAATTGCTGGAGCAACCTGCAATCGCAGGTTCGCATTCATCGTTAATTCTGCAAAACTGTTCGTTATTAATTTCTTTAGAATCCCAGAAAGAATGGGTAAACTATGACCCGCTGATGTTGCGAGAAACATGCGATATGCTGTCGGCGGGTCACCGCTGTGTTTCAGTGAAGCATGCCTTATTTTCCACAGGTGCATGTTTCGGTTGACCATGAGACCATTTTTTAAAGACGATAGTCTTTCTTGGGGGCCTTTGATGCAAAATTTTTGGTCTGTCTGTCTGTATGTCTGTATATTTGGCTGTTTGTCCGCCCTAAACGGCACCCTTAACGGCACCAAAGTGGCCAGACGGTACTCCAAACGGCCGACCCCATCCGCAGTGCCCACCAATATTGCTCAAGATTCAGCGTTCATACTTGTGCGATAGTCAATTAAAAAGGAATTATTGCACATATCTGAGGCACCATAGCAACATGTAATGTTCTGTACATGTGTCTCTTACTAAAAAAGGCATGCATAAAAAAAGGCATGCATAAGTAATTCTAACGACCATAGCATTTATCACATTGCGCTGACCATGCAACGCTTCCATAAAAAGGCAAGTGTTTCCAACACTTTGCTAAAATGACATGGTGGTAGCACCTACCCGTCGCCTTGCGTTCTACACCTTATCATTTCCGAGACGGGCGCATAGGGCGTGCACGCTTCGTTTTCCAAGATAACGGCCAGATAGAGCGCATGTCTCATGTGTGACGTGACTTGATGCGCTCGTTCGCCTCTGCTGCACGCTCGAGGCACTCCAATGCAGCGCCTCCAGAATATCATTCACCGATTTTCTTGCACAGAACATTAAAAAACGTTTTGATCACTCTCTCCAGATGCAAGACAATCGTTTTTCGACGACATTTGCAGTGTAATATGCAGATACGGGGCCAATTTTTTTCTCTTTTTTTTTTTGGCACTGGTAGTAGCGAGGCTGGGGTGCTTTAGCTGCCACTCATTAATATCGTCACGTTGCATTGTCTTGTGCCTATTATGGGTCGTCGTTTCCGTGGATTTGCGGTGGAATCGGGATCTGGAGCTGGCACATCGCACCCAAAGTTTTCAAATTAACCGTACTGGTGCAGGCCGCCGCTTCAAATTATTCACTCAAACCTACATTGCAAAGCACGAGACCGTATAAATCATTCTTATTAAGCGGTATTTAGAAATCACAGAGTTCGAATTAGTGAGATGTTACTGTATTCTATTTCGTCAGGATTTATTCAATGGACAGCTTCAGCACATGGCTTGGCATTTACAAGATAGCCTACCTGAATAAGACTTCCAGTTTTCCTGATGTTAGTATTTAGCCACTAGTTCTTTAAAGCACACCATACACCATGAGGGGAACATGAACTTCTGATGGGATAAAACAGGCCACTTCTCTATGCACGTGCATGTGTACAGAGTAATTTATTTTATTCTCCACTTTGTGCAGGAGGGCCACTGTCGGACATTGCGGTAGGTGAAGCGCCTGCTGCAATGTTCGCATGGCGGGAGGAAACCCAGCCTGGAGTCCGCTGCACCCGAGCCCGGGCTTTCTGCTCAAGTGCGGCAAGGAGCACGAGAAACTCAAGCTCCGCATTCGCTCACAGTTGCAGAGCCACATGCTAAGGTGATTATAACAATTTTCTCAAGCGGAAAAGAGTGCTGGGCATTTGTTTTTAATGAAATGGAGTTGTAAGTTTTTATCTGAAACTGAAGATTGAGAGGACTCGGTGCTCTCGTCAAGAAGGAACCCTTACGTAAAAATTAACTGTTCTGTAACTTCATGTACCAGTGTAAACTCTAGTATTAACGTGTGTGTGAATGAATAGTATGTCTGCCCTGTCGTCGTGGTCTTGTGGCTAAGGTTCTCGGCTGTTGACCCACAGGTCGTGGGATCGAATCCTGGCTGCAGCGGCTGCATTTTTGATGGAGGTGAAAAGGCTGTAGGCCTGTGTACTCGGATTTGGGTTCACGTTAAGGAACCTCAGGTGGTCGAAACTTCTGGAGCCTTTCACTACAGCGTCTTTCATATTTGTATGGTGGTTTTAAGATGTTGAACCCCACATATCTATCAATAGATAGTATGTCTAAAAATTCCCGCTTGCCGACTTTTGACAGTGGCAGTGGGTGCAGATTGCCGCCTCCTGGACCACAGATCTCGCTAGCTTACTTACTGGTGTACATTTTCTTGTTGCATGAGTTTTCTTTTTAGGGGCTATGTCCACATGTGGTTCATTTTATTTTGGCATATGTCTTGTGTGTAAATCTTATCAGGGATGCCAGGAGATAGTGGTGAGAAGACTAGTGTGCACATATTCAATTTGTGAATTATAAATGCCCTTGCTAGTTGTGCCACTTTCTTTTTTGCATGCTTCCAGTTTACATTCAAATATCTTTGGCAAGGTGTTGTGTCAACATGAATAACCTTCTCACCATGGTGTGAGGATTATTATTGTAGAGCTTAATTCCCTGCAAAACAATGCCCTCCTGTGAAATATATCTGTCTGCACCATAGTGTTAATGTAGTGGCCAGAAGCTTGGACAGGCATATCAATGGAGAGGACTCGGGCAAGGACTGGACAAGGGAAAGATATTTTATTATATCGTCACATAAATGGGACGACTTCAAAAAACTGCTAAAAAAGTGGATATGAAGAATGTTTTGCTGGCTTTTATGTCATTTAAGGAAAACTCGATCCTTGTATAGAAGAGAACTACCAATCATGTCTAGACTCACTGAGGTTTTGTCACTATGCTGGCGCCGTCTTGTGTTGAACAATGCTCATTCGCCCACGTGCAGTTGGAGATAAAGAGATGAGGTTCTATGCTTGGAGGGCACTAATAAGCACACTGGTGTGCACATGTTTGCATCTGAGCATCTGAGGGCACTGTTCCAAGAGCTATAGTCATATTGTGTGGAATGCCTGCTTCACTTCGTCAGTACGTACTGCCATCGTTGGCAAAGTTACTTCTTCATTACATGGAGGCTGTTCTGAGCAGATCACAGACCACCAATAACAGAGTTCTGCAGTGCTGTTTTCAACACTTTCATTCTTTTCTAGCAGCACCACCGGCAACACCATTCTATACTAGAACTTCCCAGGGGTGCCCACATTGCTTAAATTTCTTTTTGTGTGGAGATTGTCCTTCAGTTGATCTAGCTTGATGATGTTGTGCTTCCAGCATGGGTGTTGGCAAGAGGGGGGTGCAGACGGGGCACATACCCCCACCCAGGCTACGCCAGCAGTTCCTCCTCCCTCAGCGGCGATAAAACAAGGCTTTGCACTTCTCAATATAAGGTCTTGCTGACACCAATGCCTTCAAGTTAACAGTATACCAAAAGAAGCGCAGCACTATTGTCACATGATACTGAAAAGCCTAAATTTGAGTATGCGCGATAAGGACTACAACCTAAACAATAATATTGAGTAAACATAAAACGTTTTGTGCCCATGTGTCAGAAAGGAACTGAAAATGCTTCACCACAGGGCATGGTGCAGCTCCTGGTCTCTTGTTCCTTTAGTTGTAGGATAAGAAGGGTAGTGTACGCAGCATTTTTTTAGGCTACTCCTGCATTATTCCTCTTTGAAATGTATTTATCTATTTTTAATTTCATTTATTATTGATGTTATTTTACACTTGTTCATTCTTATTTCTTTTTTTTTAACTGGAAACAAAGACTGGGCTATTGCAACTCTGTACTAGTACAAAATGAAATGTTTGTTTTGCAGATTACATTTTTTAAAAACAGCCTTTAATCGTCTGCAGGTGACTATGCTACATGTGCTAGGATGGTTATTTGCTGTAGTAAAAGTTTCCTTAGACCTGTTAAAATAACCATGGTCTAGTTGGAAATAAGAATTAAAGAATAGCCGTCAAAATAAAGCAGTCGGCTGCACTAGCAGCAAATTTCAGCGAGCATGCACCTCATGCTCGCTGAAACATGCTGTCAAGTCTCAAAGACCATAAGGTGGCGAGTGCAGCGTCGAACAAAGAAACAGGCAGTGTGTACCACCCTATTAAATTTTGCGAGGCAAAGGAAAGCATAGAGTATTCTATATCGTGTAGGTTAGTGCCACATACCATGCATACTCTATGCTTATTTTTTTTAGTGCCTGATTTGGTATTATAATTGCAAATTCTTATTGACTCATGTGGCAAGCAAGCATTAGTAGTGGAAGGGCAGTAGTACTGAATTCAATGCCCTTTAACTTGAAGACCGGACCAGTATATGTAGCACATGTTTTCATTCAGCTTGGAATGGGATGTCACTTCTTGTTTTGGGACACTTCTCACTTTCTAGAATCGCAACCCTTGAGACACCTTATGTAAGCAATTGTGTAGAACAGTGGTTCACAAGTGATTGTCTGCGGACCGTAGGTGGTCCGCGAAGCCATTTTCTATGATCCGCGAAACCCTCACCCACATTTTTCTTTAAGCGTGACAGTGTCACGTGTTGATGAACTGTGCAAAATGAACTGATGTGGCACACCCCGCCGCGGTGGTCTAGTGGCTAAGGTACTCGGCTGCGGACCCGCAGGTCGCGGGATCAAATCCCGGCTGCGGCAGCTGCATTTCCGATGGAGGCGGAAATGTTGAAGGGCCATGTGCTCAGATCTGAGTGCAGGTTAAAGAACCCGAGGTGGTCGAAATTTCCGTAGCCCTCTACTACGGTGTTGAGACGTTAAACCCCACATATCGAAGTGACGTGGCACGATTGTTTGATGTTTTTGGTAGCTATAAAAGGCACCTGTTTCACGCTCCAGTAATGTTAATTTACCTACGGGACCCCCTCCCTCCGCTGCAAGGGGTCCCCCATCACTACCACCAGTCCACAAGGGGTCCTCGACACATTCATGGCTGAGAACCACTGGTGTAAGACATTGAAAACTGGCACCTTTACCTCAGAGTGTATTATAGTTATAACCAATGTAGCTGTTCCAGGCAAATTCTTTACACTTTACCTTGTAGCTGGGGAGTTCACAGTATCAGTTAACAAATTCGAGTAAAACCAGTTTGTAAAGTCTCTACATAAACTCTGACATACCTGATAAACTGACTTCCAGCTTTCTTTCTGCATTGTCATTGTATATGGCTTTTCCGCCCCCAGGATTGTGAAAGTTTCTCTCTATCAAAGTCCAGTACCTGCATGCACTGCCTGTTTTATCAGTACCTGAATTTGTATGTGGTTGCAAATGCAGAGAGTGCATCGTTGGGTTTGTGTAGAAACACCAGGAAAAGCACGGTTAGCTTGGCTAGCTAATGAACTGCTTGAACATCTCGTCAGTGTATGTGTTGTCAGCTTTTCTTTTATTAAAAAAAATATATATATATGTTTTGACAATGCACCTAACGGTGTTTAAACCAAATCCTGTAGAAATAAAATTGACAATGCTTGAGTGGACATCATAGATGTTGACTGGAGCAATGTCAAGAAAAAGGGCACTGTAGTGGCTGATTTTCTTAATCTTGCTTGCAGCTAACTTGTGCATGATGTTTTATATATAAAATATATTTCCATTAAAAATGACTAAAAAAGGAGTACTTTCATGGAATCGATTTTAGTTATCTTCCACGAAGGCCCCTTTGACCCTTGCATTGGGGAACAGCCCAGTAGTCTCTTGAACATTATATCACTTGCAATGTCACTTTTTGTTGTACATAATAGATATATACTTACATGCCGGGATTTACTTTGTGCTTTACGCCTGCCTTTGTTACCTATGTGTGAGCTGCCCATTAGCAGTCTTATGCTTTTCAGACTGTGGTGCATATACATCTTTTGATATCATATACTGGGCTTACACCGAAGGGGCAACAGACCTGTCCTTCCTTACCATAGAGTGCACTTGAAACCTCTAAGGAGCAGTGACCCGTTAAGGTCGAAAAAAAAAAATCATATGCTGCAGAATGCAAAAAAAAAAAAAGTGTTTCAAACTCGCCGTCATAGCTACAAGCTGCGATGATGAACGCTCCCAGCTTTACGTGCACAGATATACCGGATAAAGTGTACAGGAGGTGGGCCGCTGCCGTAGCGCAATTGGTAGAGCATCAGATGCGTTATCCAAAGGTGTCGGATTCGATCCCTGCCAGTGCCTAGTTGTTTTTTCATCCATTTTAATTACTTCACATATATATCACAATTATTGCAAATAACATCTGCTGCACTTTCTTTGGCTTGAATTGTCTGCTGGTTGCCAGTGAAGTTGTGCTATGATAGGTAGTGCATGCACAAGTTGCTCTATATGACGCAGGTTTTTCAAGTATGAAGCAACATTTGCTGTCCAGCGCTTGTGTTTATGGCTTCATGTGTGTTAGAATATATCTTTTGTGCACTGCTTCATCAATATCATAGCTTGCCAAGTAGCCTATCTCTGCATATTATATGATATGACGGTATGTGTGTACTGTAGTGCAGCATGAGTTACGAGTGATATGGTAGCTGCAAAGCTGCTTATGAAGGGTGTATGTACAAGCAGTGTTGTGGAAAAAGGCAAGGCTTGATAAGCTTTGCTAGGAATTGTGAATGATGAAAGTAGCAAAGTTTTGTTTCCCCATACTCATTGTTCAAACCATGGAATAAAGGGACCCTTGCTCATTCCTTTGGACATTGCACAGATGCTGTCCTTTCCCTTTTGCAGTCTGTTTGAAGACGGACTCTTCTCGGATGTGACCATCGAGTCATTGCCAGGTGACTCCTCCGATGGTCCTGTATTGAAAGCTCACAAGGCAGTTCTCTTGGTGAGAGTGCCTTTCTTCTGGAAGCGTCTTGTCGAGAAGTGTGCAGTCTCTGGCAAAGGAACCAATGAGTTTGCTGTGCCTCTTGACAAGGACTTGTTGAGAGACTTCCTCAGGTGAGGAACTGAATAAGTGATAAAAGAAATGTGGTGTGTTCTCCCTTCAGTGTTCTTTCACTTGAGATAGGCTGGGATGATTGTACAGAGACAGCTGCTCATAGTGGTTGCATGGTTAGAGAAATGTTTCACTGTGTAACAATTTAGGACATCAATAATCAGTTTTCGTACAGGAGCCCTGTAACACTTTTCAGGGACCTTTTTTTATCAGTGGACATATAAACAAACGGTTGGAGGGGCCTTTGGTGTAAATCAGTGGTTCTCAAAAGAGGGTCCGCGAACTTTAGAGGGCTTGCGAAGCAGTTTCTAAGATCCGGGAAGGCCTCGCCCACTTTTTTTTATGCATTTTTTAAATTGTTTTAAATATGCAACTCTGTTTAAAAGCGACTGTGCCACATATTGATGAACTGTCCAAAACGAAGGGACACACTTGTTTGATATTTTTGGTAGCAATAAAAGGCACCTGTTTCACGCTCCAGTTGTGTTAATTTACCTACGCAACCCTCTTCCCCCCTTCAAGGTGTCTTCCATCACTTCAACCATTCCTGCCCCGCCGCAGTGGTCTAGTGGCTAGGGTACTCGGCTGCTGACCCGCAGGTCACGGGATCGAATTCTGGCTGCGGCGGCTGCATTTCTGTTAGAGGCGGAAACGTTCTGGGCCCGTGTGCTCAGATTTCGGTGCATGTCAAAAAACCCCAGCTGGTCAAAATTTCTGGAACCCTCCACTAGGCAGTCTTTCATAATCATGTGGTTTTGAGACGTTAAACCCCACATATCAATCATCAAACTTCAACCAATCCACAAGGGGTCCCCGACACATCCATGGCTGAGAACCTCTGGTGTAGATAAAAACATCAATATAAAAATATTTGATTTTAGTCGCTTAATGAAATCGCTACATTGCTAATGACCACAACAGTGCGAAGGGGCGCTCTCTATAAGCATTTCTGGTGGAAGTCATGTCACCGAATGGTCATGCTTATAATTGGATAAGAACAAAAGTTGTAGACGATCACTTTACTGCCGCAAAGTCTTGCTTGAGGCTTGTTTTGTGTGGTTTGCTGTACTTGTTATGAGCACAAAAACAGATATGATCTTAAAAAGCTGAGCACAAAACGTGGTTGGGGTGCTGCTTGCTTTTTATCCTGTGGCCTCCAAGCGAATATGTGCACTTGAACTTCATTTGTCTGTGAAAGCTTCTGTTCTCGCTCACGTGCCTTCGTGAGCAGCCTTGTTTTGCGTGTGCTGTACACTTCTGAGTAGAGCTGTGCAAATAGCAAAACTTTTGTGCAAAGTGAATCGAATATTTTGCAACTTTTTCTCTGAAATTTCACTTCAAAGTACAGTTGAACCCCGCTCCAACGAAACGGACAGGGCGCATAAAAAATTTCATTGAAGCGAGAATTTCATTGCAGTGAAATCAAAAACATATAGTTAATCTCAGCTAGCAAAACAAAGGAATATTTGTTCCTAAAATTAAAAAAATGTCTACTGCTTCCTATTCTTTCCCAGCAGTATCACGATGCGATTCTCAGCTATGCGTAGTGAGGCCATGGTGAAAAGTACGCTGAAACAACACCTAAAACCGCCTTCGCAAACGAACCAAACAGTTGCATTAACACGTTAACACCAGCAGCTGTTCGCCGTCAAAAATATCCGACAACGCCGAGATGGAGGCAGGGTTTCTGGAGCGGCGACTTTTGCATTATTCTATGCCATTCTCATCATCCATCACTCGCGGCTAGCTGATTTTGTTGATCATGTGGACGAATGGCCACTCTGATTAGTTACCACACTGGCCAAGCGTGAACATAATGGTAAGCATCGGAATCGGAAAAGGCATCATTCCGCGGTTGCACGCAACAGCTATGTGAAGGAAACAGTGAACTGAGCTTCAGCTTTGGTTCGCCTGAGGCTGAAAAGCAAGCCAGTAGCAAAAGCAGGGCAGTCTCATTGCCATAGTTATCGAGCAGTGGTGGCGCCCTGGCTTGATGAACAGCGGTGGTTTCTAGTGGTGCCAATGCGTGTTTTAGACTTCGTTGATGCATTTTCAGGCTCTGAAAATGCATCGAAATGTTAACCATTGGGTTTGAATGCAATAGCGATGTCCCGTCTCTAGTGAACATACTTCAACCACTTGGTACATACTTCTTATTGTGTGATATTACTTTAAAAGTTGAAATTGTAGTCATGACAATGTAATTGATATAGGTGAAAATGGCTTGTATCAGTGAAAATTTCCCTTATGGCTGCATTCTGTGTAATGGGTAGTGTGGGCAACCATGAGAAATTATGTGCGTGTGTCACACACTTCGGGTGAAGCCCCGCCGATCCAACATCAACGTGCGGCAGACTCGCAGGCTTCCACTTTACGCTTCGGCCTGCGACACCTGAAACGCCTCGAAGTGGCACATTTCAAATTTATTACCAGGTTGGTCGACCCGTGCGGTGTTGCACGGGTGGTGATGCGTGGGCCTGACCGACGCACTCATAGAGCAGACACGAAGATTTGATTACACAAAAACAAGGATTTAATTAAAACAAGGGCAAAGGCAGGAGATTACAAAAATAGCAGAGGAGCAAAACTGATACGCGCAATGGAAAGAACAGCTATATAACAAAATATGCTAAAATAAACACTACAAAAGATACAAACTAAAGACAAATATGCGCAACATTAATAAAACAACAAGATGGAACTACAGGAGAGACAAGGAAAATTTACGAGAGAAAGAGAAAAAAAAAACTCAGGCTCACGCTTCTGAGCTTCGACGTGCAATGCAGCGCACACTACAAATATTAAAAAAAAGGGCTGGTTATAATAATTGAACGGTTTAAAAAAGTCACAATAAAAAGTTCCATACGGACCAGGCCACCTCTTGGTGCACATATGGCAGTTGACGGGTGCCGCTGAAGATCTCGCCGGCTTGGTAGACAACGAGGGTGCCCGGAATTGCAGCCGTCTCAATACGTTGCGCGGGTCACTCCATGCTTGCCGCCTACGCGAGACTCGCGACACCGACAACCGCACTTGTTGCTGGCTGTACGTCAACTGCTTATTCCCATGCAGTCCAAACTTTTTCAGGGGCGTAGGCGTGCTCCCGTCCCATCTGGGGGTAATTTCCTTTTTCTAGACCACCTGTGCCCCTTTCGGTACAGGTGCAGGGAAGACGAGCCAGCGCCACGCTGGGTCGTTAGTCGCTGGATGTCGTCCCCAACACAAAAGCACCCTTCCTTGGAAGATGGGGCCCGCGAATGATCCGAAAATTGGAGTCGTTTGTGACACAGCCCTCTTCTCAAGAATATTGCTGCGTAATATTCAAGAAAATCACAAACGTGCAATGTTCGAGAGCTTTCAGTGTTCCGGTTGTCCACCAATGCATTTTGTTTTTCGCGCACCGTTTTGCTGACTTGGACGACACCGCAGAAAACACCCGGCACACGACACTTTCACGGTCACTATACGATAAATGTCATAACTCGCGCACCGCGACACGGACACACACTTACCAAAGGAAAATAACAAAAATACTGCACGCTTCAAAGCTAAAGGACGTAAGCATTCTTTGAAGCCAAATATGCAAAAATACACGCTGTAAGCGGTATACAAAAGTCACTTATTGACACGCAGCTATCAAAAAGATGAACGAGAAATAAAACGACACGATCATTTGTGCACAGTTCCTGAACATGCTCTACACTAAAGCACTTCATTTTGATATAATAACAATAAAAAGAAAGGTTTCAAAAAGATAGCGTCATGTTTATCACACAAGCTTACCGCGTTAGACTTCGATTATGTGACCAAACAGTCTCCTAAAAAAAGCCCAAGTAATTAAAATTACAATATCCCTTGAACAAGGCTTCCCTAACTGAACGGGTAATAGATTGAAACAACAGAACATCGTCTACAAACACACGGATGACAAAAGCAAACCAAAAGATTAACTAAGCTATTAGTCCCCCCATTCATGGAATGCTCCTAAATCGAAAAACATAAATGAATATTGTTTCAAACAACAAGTCATTTGCCTTTAGGGTTACTTTTGAGTTCTGATGTACGCAAATTTTATTCATGCTCGAGGTGGCCGTGCTCTTGGGGGAGCCGTTCGAAGCAACCCGGGCAGATAAAACAGTGGACGGCTGCTACCCGGACGCCCGTTTCCCGCTTGTTTGCCCCCAGGCAGCAAGCCATCGTCGACACCGCATTCTACGGAACTGGGACTCGTAACCACGTCGCGTCGTCTAGCCATAATTCGCTCATTACCCGTGTATTTTGCTCCTCGAACACAGGAATGGAGTGGTGGGGGTTGGCTCCTTGGAGCAGCAGGTACAATTGCCTGTCTCACCCCCCTACCTTTCGGGTGGTTTGGGGCATGGGGACGTGTTTGCCTCGCGAATGTCACAACGCGCAAACGAATCTTCTGTTGCTTTGTTTGAACTTCGGCAATTCTCGATTTTCCGGGTTGCTTTGCACCCTTCGTTTTCCTTCTGCTTGTGCGGTGTCTTTTTCTTTTTGCACGTTGCCCAGTGCTCACTTTCCAGAAGTCCGCTTGCAACATTTGCAGAGCAAAACTGGTCTTTCCTGCCTCATCGCTGTAATGTCTATACAGTGGGGATTTTCTGTTTACTTGTGGACACCCTGACTTGCGGGAAACTTGACTGACAGCTGAACAATGCAAGCGTCTTCCTCAGGGCTGCACTACTCGCACCTGGGAGAACTACTCGCCCGAACATTGCCCAGCTCACAGTGTGCTGACTCTGTCCCGCTGTCTGTACAGGGGTCCTCTCCTGCCGGACCGGAGGTACTGCGAACTTCACAGTTAGCTGCCATGGCGATGCGCATACAGGGTGGCTGTGCCAAGTCATTGACAGATGGCATTTCTGTATCGACAAGACTTTCCAGACACAGCGCCTCGTCGCCATCATTGCGGCCTTCAGTGGCCTTTGTGGCCACAATGGGTCTTTCAGCAGCTAACTCCTTAGGTTCACTCGTGAAC